TTCATGTCCTGGGTGGATCTGAGATGGTGCTGCTCATAGCCATGGCCTTTGACAGATATGTGGCCATATGTAAGCCCCTTCACTACCTGACCATCATGAACTCACGGATGTGCATTCTGCTTCTGTCTAGCGCTTGGGTTTCTGGTCTCATTCACTCAGTAACCCAGTTGGCTTTTGTTGTCCATTTGCCTTTTTGTGGTCCTAATGAAATAGATAGCTTTTACTGTGACCTTCCTTGGTTTATCAAACTTGCCTGCATAGACAGCTACAGAATGGAGTTCTTGGTTACTGCCAATAGTGGGTTAATTTCCATAGGCACTTTCTTTTTATTGATGATTTCCTATATCTTAATCCTGGTCACTGTATGGAAACACTCTTCAGGTGGTTTGTCCAAAGCCGTCTCTACTCTTTCAGCTCATATCACTGTGGTGGTTTTGTTCTTTGGACCATGCGTCTTTGTTTATATGTGGCCATTTCCCTCAGTGTCAGTGGATAAATTTCTTGCCATTTTGGACTTTATGATTACACCCATCCTGAATCCTGTCCTTTACACATTGAGAAACAATGATATAAAGATGACAATGAAGAGACTGAGTAGTCATCTCCTGAGTCTGAGGAAGATCTCCTGAACAACTTATAAGGGCGCAAATGATGCCTTCTATCAGCACCACTGTAAACACAATTTTTGAAAATTTATGCTATCTTGAGACAATTTATTGTCCTTAATCATGAGCTCAAACACCTTAGAAAGTTTATTCCAGTTTAGTAACCAATAATGTGAATATGTATTTAGTCTCTTACCTATGGGCTATTTTGCATAGTTTCATAACTTTAAAATATATAAAACATACTCTCATGTGGCTCACATTTTAACTAGTCCATAGAACATTCTGAGAAGTTTATCAACTTTATTCCACAGTGCCACATTTACAGATTTACTGGTATATACTGATATTTTCTTCTGTTACTAGGTTGGGAAATATTCTCATCTAAGAGAATGATTGGTTCCCATCACAGTTATTACTTGGCAAGCAGAGCAGTTTCACATTCTGTGTTGATTCAGGTTTGCAGATTTTTCATTTTCTTCCTTTGTACTGTTACCTATGTTAATAAATGTACTCAGTTCCATACATTTTGTAAGAAATTTAATTTGTTTCATAGAATATTGTGAAATAGTCACATACACATAAAATAGTCAAGTGGACAAAGATATTTTGTCACATACACATAAAATAGTCAAGTGGACAAAGTAGTGCTTTGAATGCCTTTTTGGGATCTGGTCACTAAGAGGTCAAAGATGGTCTTCTTTTTCTCAACCTTGAGTTTAACCATGCCCTTTAAAAGTGTGCTGGTGGTAAAAAAGTTATGAATTTAGAACAAATATTCAGTCAAAGAAAGTAGAACTAGGCTAGGATTGAAAAATGTTAAAGAGAGGGATATAATCTTGCTCAGCAATGGATCCAGTGCAGGAATGAACACCACTATATCGTCAACCATTAAGCAACCTATTCTTTTAAACTTCCAGGTAGGACAGACTGACCAGTGCATACAGCAACACAGCACCTTTTGTAAACTACCTATTCAAATTGAAATTGTATTTTTATAGTGAGATGGAATTTGCTTCCCTATGGCTTTCATATTGCATTTCTCATTTTATAATCTGGATTTGTGCATAATAAAATATTTTTATGGTGCCTCCTCCTTTCATGTTGGAAAATAAATTATGATTCTATTATGTCTTCCAGTTTTAGGGTTAAATATTTATTCTGAGGCAAAACATATTGAATCTTAAATCTTTTCAGACAAGATTCCCCGTCTTGAAATTTTCACTATAGAATTTTAAAAAATTACTATGAGGCAACCTGAAATATCAGCTTTATTTTCCAAATCCTAATAAATTCTCTAGCAATTGTTTCATATATCATTAAATTTTTTGGAAGTTGCAAGAAGGGTGCATATAGATTACAGAAGTAGCTTAGTCATGTGGTTTCATATATCAGATGGATTAGGTCAAATTAATTAACTGGAAGGAAATTTGTAGAAAATTTTTGAAAGAACTATAGAATACATTATAATTTGTTCAGATATTTGCATTTTGTATGTATCTTTACATACCAGATGTGCATTAAGAAGCAGATTAATGGCAGTCTTCTGCACGTGTTACAGTAGCCGGGAATTTTGCTTTGGAACTAGATTATTTCGTGTTAAAAGGTTAAGATTCTGGAATAGCCAAGAGCATATGGGAGCACTCAACAATCAAATTAAAAGTGGCCATAATTGTTATATGGATTGTGTTATGAGCTGAATCTTGTCTTCCCCAAATTCATATGTTGAAGTGCCAAACGCTAGTACTTCAAAAAGTAACTCTATTTGGAGATAAGGCCTTTATTTTGAAGTGGAGATTAGGTTAAAACAAAACTGTGAGGGGTGGGGCCGTAACCCAATATGACTAGTGTCCTTATTAGAAAAGAGGAATCTGCAATGTGTTATTTTTTAAGTGGCGCTCAGGTTGAAAAACAAGTTATAAAACTGTATACCAAAAATATAAATTTTTTAAATTAAAAAGAGCAGGTAGAGACAATATTATGAAAGACATGTTAATAACACAAAACTAAACCAAGTAAAACTGTGACAAGAATAAGACTGATCTATTAAAA